CTTAGAGCGGTTTAATTGAAAATGAGAAAATAAAACAAACAGAATTAGTTTTCCACTGACTCCAGAGGGAATTATGCAACAGACTAAAAATGTGCAGAGTTGTACCTTTTGTTGCTGGGCTTGTATTTTCGCTCTGCATTCTTTTTTGAGAGTGTGGAAGGGGAAAAAAAGAGAAAGAGAGAAAAGAGAGCAATGTATCATATCTCTGCTGGAGATGTTAGAGCTTTTATTTGGTTTTTCTCTCCTGCCCTTACTTCCTTGCAGTGCCGTCTCCATTCTCATCATTGTCTCCATTGCTTCTCCATATTTACTCATCTCCGTGCCTCTAATTCTCCCCAGCTCTGTCGTCCTCGTGGTGGTGTGTGTTTAGATTCAGCCGCTGTGACACAAAGCCGCGCCGCTGTCGCACACACGCTGCACCATTTACTGAAACTCTACATCCTGAGATGTGAATAACATGAACTCCGCCTGAACCTCCACAACCCCTCTGTAAACAGACACACACATGCACAGAAACACACACACTCACACACGTGCACTAATAATTGTGTGCTAGCCCAGATGCTGCGCTGTAATTGGCCACTGTGGCTTCCCGCTGTGGGAAAGATATTTTTAACACACACTTAAAGACACACACACACACACACTAATCCTTGCCTCTGCAACATCTGCCACATCCTCCAACACATGTTATGGTGAAACGCATGCACACATTCATACACACATATATGCACACGCACATACCCGGTGTAACCATAAAAGCAGCCCCTCCCTGTTTAACCACCAGTCCTGACATCAGTTCTAAATAAAATTATGTGGTTATTCCCCGAAAGGCACAACCTCGCCCTCTGAGACCGTAACTGCTGGGTTTGGGGGGGTTTTGTCTTCATCAGTGTTTCCCTGTGGAAAGGCCTCTAGAACAGGATCATGTGCCAGTAAACATTTCTAATTAGACTTGCACTGTATTAATTCAATTCTTCCAAAAAGTTTGGCTGTCATGTGACTCGTCTGTCTACCAAAATTCATTTCGATCTTAACATTTTGACTTTTTCCTTCTCATACATATTCTTCTGACACAAATGTTAGTCTGAGATTCACCAGAGCGCTCAGCTTTCTCATCCACCTCTGCACTCTTAGCACCACCACTTTGTTTTTGTCTTTTAAAGACTTGATTTCCCCACTGGCCCCACCTCGAGTTTTCACTCTCTCCTCACCTGTGAGCGCTGCTGTCCGTACGTGTTTGGCTAAAGTAAAAACTGCTCTGACAGTAATTTTTCAGTAAATAATTGAGACGTGAGGCTCAACTTGCCAGTAGCTATTTGAGATTGGAGCTCGGTATGAAATAATAAATGCACGGCCCTAATTAGAAAATCCCTGGGAGGAAGCCATGTCTGCTTTTCACCTTTTCGACTCGATGTTAATTACTTGTGAGGGTGTAACAAGGGACCGTGATATTGTTTAAAATGGCTAAAACTTCAAGTTCTCTTCTAATATTTGTCAAAAACAATTTTAATTTAAGATATTGTCTTGGCCTTCTTTTGCCGGGAGCGGCATAAAAAGTGATCATATTGAAGAGACAGCTAGTAAGAGAAAGCAGCTTGAATAAAATCCCATGTCATAAATATATAAGCTTAAGGCTTTGATTATATGAAAATAAATTAACTGAAATTTTCATTTAGAAACTTTTTTATGAATAAAATAAGCAGATCAGAGTGTCTGATTTCTGATTGCACAGTTTCAGTTGAACACTTATGTCATAATGTATCGTTCATCTATGTAGTAGCTAGCATTAGCCTGTAAAACCTCATCATGGGACACTTTTCCATTCAGCGTCTGTCGAGTCAGTTTTACACATGTAGCCCAGTGACACAAATCCTTAATTTGCCTCAAAGGAGTTTATAATCTGCAGAGCAAACGGCACCATTTTGATGTAATTGATGTTTTCTTCCACGACTGTGGTTGTTTCCTGGAAGACAGGTGTGAAAGCTACGCTTTGAAGGATTGTTTTGTTCACTGCAGATTGGTTTATGTCCAAAAGGAATGCAAGCTTTTTCCAGGTTGGCGGCGAGAGCGACCTTCCATCTCTTAAAGAGCATTTACTATCTACTAGCCCCACTAGTTAAGAGAGACAGAGGGTGGGAGGGGATGGGGAGGGGGGTGGGGGAGCAAAGCGAGAGGCAGAAAGAGAGAGAGCGATGGATGTATCAAACAGCAGCCCCCTGCTGAGCAGGGAATGGAAAAGCTGCTGGCACCGACATGAATATTTCAGCAGATAGCTACAGCTCTCTGTACCCCCCACCCCCTCGCTCTCAGTCTGTCAGTCTCTCGCTCCCTGTCTCTCACCTTTTCCTTCTTTCCACTTCCTCCCCTCGAAACCTTCCAAAGCCTCCATCCCCACTTCTCTCCTTTTACTCTACCATGGAGTGGACTGTGATAAGGTAGTGAGTGATAGAGATGGAGCGAGTGACAGACAGACAGACAGGGAAGGAGAGAGAGAGAGAGAGACCTCTTCGGACTGAATTCTAGGTAGCCAGGAAAATGGCTCCTGAATGTAAATTTGGAAAGGCGGCAGCGAGTGTTGACTGAACTTGGCTGCTTCCCCAACCTCCCCCATTAGACACTTGTGATGGTTTGGCCCGGGGTAGTTAGGCAATAAAAACAGAACAAATGGAGCAAAACAAATATCAGCAGGCAGACAGTTTCTCTGGAGACCTTAATAGATTTTTAACAGTCAGACACTGCTATTTTTTGTCAATAATTTAACGACTTCTTTCCTTATCTGCTGTGTCTTTTTAGCCGTGTTTTTATCTTTTCAATTAGCGCATGTGGATTTGTATGCGACTCTAGAGCTCGTCTGTGTATTGGGGCGATGATAAACACTAATGACTGATCACCAGAATATCCCCTTGATCACCAATAACTCGTGTTTCTTGAAACTGCACACAGCTACGATGCAAAATTTGGATGCACAGCTCACAGTGAAGGTGAGCTGTTGCCTGGAGGTGCAGTCTGTGTGATCTGCGCTTGTTTTCTACGCAAAAAACAAAAAAAGTTGGGGTTTTTTGGGGGGGGGGTTTTAAAGCACTTTTGTAAATGTGTCTAGAAAGTGTACACTTCAAGCCTGAATAAACTCACTTGAGAACGTCAAATATATTTGAATAATATTCAGACTTGATCTGTGTAGCACCGTCGAGTTCATATTTTTGGCATCAAATCCAAAATAGGCAAAACCCTTGGGTGTCAGGAGTCTGCAATCAGTAACTTTTAGGGAATAAGCGAATGAATGAATGTCTTATTCATCCAATTGAAAAACAGTCCTTGAGTCCTTCAGTTTCATTTGAAAAACCTTATGATTATTTACTAATGAAAGAATAGACCTCAGTATGGCTGTTGCAAGATGAGCCATTATTTCAAGTTGGGAGAAAGTTTGACTTCTACAATGTCTTCAGCCTATAAAGTGGATGTGGCAATTCAGTCTATTTTAATGGTGAAAGATAACATCATTTAAATAGATGTGTTGACAACCAGTTAATATAGTAGTATAGTAGTAGTAGTGCAGTCTTATTATTTGTATTGTTGCGTTTTTCTCCATCACTTTCTATATCAAGGTCTTTAATGATGATACTGAAGAAGGATTGGTGCCTTGAGGTTGAATGCTTGTGCCAGTCAGTAAAGCAGCAGTTTACACTGATCTCTCTAAACTCCTATAATGCAGTGTGTATATAAATATATGTGCAATAATGGAATCGTTTTTTTATATTTGGCTTTTTTCAGCTTTATTAGATAGATGCTCTGAAGACTGACAGGAAAGCGGAGGGGGAGACATGTGGAAAAGGACCACAGGTCAGACTCGAACCCTGGCCAGCTGCTCTCAGCCATGCGGTATACGGTCACCTGCTCATTCAACTGAGCCAAACCTGCGCTCATATAATGGAAACTTAAAGGAATTTCATTGGTGGGGACCGAAGATTAGTGTTACCAGTTCAGAATCAGACAAAATGTGATCACAATGTGTCCCCTTCTGCTCCTGAGTTGAAAACTTGAAAATAGCCAGCAAAGTGTTTCTGCAGAAAATTATGATGCTACATGAAGCTGACCTTTGACCTTTTGGATTTAAAACTGGTATCAGAATAATGATTCTGTCATATTGCACCATTTGTGTGAAGTTCCTTCATAATAGGTTGGTTCATGAGGTCACAGTGACCTTTCAAGAAAAACAACATTTCACCTCTAAGTCAAAGTTACTATTTTTTGGCAGAGATATTCCGATTCTCATACTTGAGTAGAGGTGAACATTTTTGCCATTTGTAGAATTACCTGAAGTTTGACAAGTAATATCACGTACAAATGGAAAGACTGGAAGGACAACCCCAAAACATCTCTGGTCACCAGCACAGAGGCACAGTTTTCATTTGCGTTTTTGAAATCTGTGAATAAAATCTGATTTCTTTGGGTTCAAATTTAATTGCTTCTGCTACAAAACTCTTGACTGCTAAAAAAAAATGTATGTTTTTGATTTCTTTAACATCTAACCAACACACCCTCCCTTGCTCTTTTTGCTATTTGCCTGTTTTTCATATACAACCACATGAAGGCGAAAGGGCTTCAGATTTCAGCGGCGCAGTAGTCTCTTTTTGGCTGCACTGGCCTTGTTTTTGTGCGAATCATGTGCCAGTTTTAATGAATATCATTTAGACAGTTCTTGCCTCTGTTCCCAGTTTGGTTCTCTGATTCATAGTTAATAACATGTTGCGTTTGCATCATGCAAAATGAAAAGGCCCACATTGCTTCTCACATTAATACCGAACAAAAACACTCAAAGGAATCTGCAGATGTGCTGCAGAACTCTCACAGTTTAAATAATTAGTGCAAAGGCAGTAATTACAATTTGATAGAAAGTGTTCCAAAATTTAGAAGAAATGACAATAAATGTTTAAAAAAAATAGTAAAAAAGAAAAGAAAAGAAAAGAAAGAAAAGAAAAGAAAAATGTGAAGTAACTGAAAAACATGTAGACAAATGACAAATTAAAGTCTTAAATTAAGCCTAAAAGACTTTTGGTAAGCTGCTGGACCACCAAAACAACTTAGCTGTTATTTAAGTTTCATGCACCATGTGAGGGACTGTTGCCATACTTTCATTATGTTTCCATAATTTGTAGTGACCAGTCTCTCTGTACTACAGCACCAAAATGCACTGCAAAGCAAAGCTATCAGATCAGGCAGGAGTGTGACTGCTGCTCCAGATGACTGTCTGACCCTTAGCTGTGTGTTGAAGGGTGTAGGCTTAAAGACTTGTTCTTTACTGGTTCCCACACTGGATCCTAACTCAGTTTTAACAATGTGTGGTGTGTAAGTGTGTACCATGTGAGGCTGAGTGGTCAGCTGCTAGCTGGTTAGTTTTCCATTTGGAGATATTTCTGTCATCCTATACGTCCAAGTGCTTGGCCCCTGCCAGATAGAGAGCAATACTGAACTCTGATAACACCACAGTACTGCTAAATGATTGTATGTGTGTGTGTGGCAC